AAAGGAAAAAGTATGAGAAAGAAAACAAAAAAAAATGGAAACAAAGTCTATGTAAATAGGGAAGGGTGGTGGGGGTGAAGGGCGCACAGGTAATGGGGAAAAAATAAGAACTAAGATACATCATGTTCAGGTACAAACACCCAATGATAAATGCAAATGTACTGTATACCTAAAATGTACCAATTAATATATAAATTTTTTTAAAATGTGATGGAGACTGAGAAGCTATTCATTTAATTTATTTCATTTTAAAAATTTAATAGCCACATATGGCTGGTGATAACCATACCACACAGTGAAGCTCTATATCAATTGGTTTTATAGGTTAGTGTGATACTAGAGATTCAGTGATGACAAGAACTAATCAGTTCTACACAGAGAAGATGCTGCTCCAAAGCCACAGGTAGGGCCTGTGGCCTGGTCAACTGCCTCAGGAAACTGCATCATTTTTAGAGAAAGGACTAAGAAATAAGGTAAATGGCCAAGAGCAAACTTATCACCACTGTGGGAGAAGGAATTCAAGTGCCTAGTCTATGGATGGTAGTGCAGGATATCATTTCTACACAAAAAATAAGAAGGATATTGCCTACCTTTTCTTCAAAATGATAATTCCTAGAATCATGTTGGCAATTAGAGAGCCCTGTAAAAGGGGACAACAGTGACAGTTTTAATGCAAGGGAAAGAAAATTAACATAATTCAAGGTGAATATGAACATGCACACAGGGAAAAACATGGAATGAAGGAGGCTAGAATGAACAATTAATAAGGTTGAGTTGTTCTAATAATGGCAAAAAGCCTAGACCATAAAAATGTATCATATGAAATAATAAGACCTTTAAGAGATGACAATGAGAATAAAAATGACTAATTCTCAATAACCAATCTTAGTGAAGTTACGGCTAATAGGAATAAATAATACCATAGACTTATTTTGTCAACATTTCTGTCTCTCTAATTTCTAAGACTTTGAATAAGCTTCCTCCACCTCCAGTCTTAATTTAAGAAGTTATGCAATTGTCCCTCTCTCCTCTGGGCAAATGTCAATCAATCAACAAATGTTTATAGAAAGTCTTCTACGTGTTCATTGCCTTGAAGGTCACCTTAATAATTATAATTAGCTCGGGAAAGTCTTTTCAGGACTAGCACATTCAATCTTACAAAAACCTCAGGCCACATGGAAATAGTATTCCAATCATTGCTCATTTTTCATTCTTCTGCAATCCTACCTACATACCCCTTGAAGTCATCCCTGCTCTTCTGGGAACTGTTCTTATTTTCATACAAAGTACAGAGAGATCTACCACCATACTTAGGCAAAGAAGAAAATCTGTACTGCTTAAGGAGAAATTCTGTTCCTCAAGAATTTCCATTTATTACCTCACATCTCTGCTTAAAAGGAAAAATCAGAAACAAGGAATACAGGCTAAATATCCTAAATCTGAAAATCGGATGCTCCAAAATCCAAAACGTTTTGAGACCCTACATGATGTTACAAGTGGAAAATTCCACACCATGAAACTTAGTTTTACAAACAGAATTATTAAAACTATTATATAAAATTTCCTTCAGGCTATGCATATAAGTTATATATGAAAATACATAAGTTCTATGTTTAGATTTGGGTCCCATCCTCCATGATATCTCATTATGTAGATACAAATATTCCAAAATCCAAAGCATTTCTGTTTCAAGGCATTTCAGATAAGGGATATTTAACCTGTACTTATTTCATGTCCCAAAAGTAAATGTAAATTTTGGAGTAAGAAATGAGAAGTGACAAGAAATAAGTTAAATACCATTAATAGCAAATTTGAATATAAAATCAGTGAGATGAATGAAAGTAAAAGTTAAATTTGTTTCCCAGGAAACTCTGTTTTTATTAATCACTCATTACATTTTAGGTAATAAGAGTCCAGGCTGGTCCTGAACTTGCTATGTAGCTCAGTCTGGCCTTAAATCTGTGATTCTCTTGCCTCAGCCTCTTGCATGCTGGGATTAGAGGCATGCTGGGATTAGAGGCATGCACCACCATACCTGGCTTTTGCAAACCTACTGTTATCCCCTAGACTTTACTTTTTAAGGCCTTTCTACTTTTTTTCATCTGTTCAATCTACCAGCTTAATTACACTTTCCAGAGGAACATGCACAGGGTGGCCAACAGCACTTACAGATCTAAATATCATATGCAGGGGCATGGCAATGTTAAGATTCAGGGCATAGTTGTTCACCACGCTGACAGTGAAGAACATGGTTACCATTACAGCATAATACCTGAAATGCAGACAGAACAGGAAATCACACAGAGTCCAGTATTTAAAAAAAAAAAGCATAGAAAGATAAATATACTTTTGGTTTAAAAATTGTTTATTCCATCTACATTAAAATACTATTATCACTCTTATCACATGAATACCAGGTACATATAAAAGTACTTTATAAAGCCAAACATGGAAAAAATTAGAATTACAGAATATGTTCAAAGAAACACTATTCTAATGTTTTTCAAGTATACATAGCAACTTAAAACTATTCTTTTGAAATAACCATAGATACTCATAGATAGCCATAGAGTATTTTAAAAGTGAATGGATAAGTCTTATATTAATTCTTTGTATATAATTTTGATAGACCTCTGAAGAACTTGAAAATGGTTAATTCTCTCAAATATTTCCTCTACATGCTTATTTCTGTTGTGGGTTTTTTTGTTTTGTTTTTTTGGGTCTTTTGGTACCGGAGATCAAACTTGGGACCTTGCACTTGCAAGGCAGGCGGCGGCACCACTGAGCTAAATCTCCAGACCTACACTTGTTTATACTATTATTTTTCATTATTTCTT